GATAGCCAGTACGAAGAACGATTTTTTGAAGCCAAAAGCCTATTACTACAAATTAAAGGTTTATATTATAAATGGGTCAATCCACTAGTTGTAGATATCAAACGCTCAAATCCGGACGTACCTGTAGTAACTTCAGAATACGCATTAGGGAAGCAAAAATTTAAAACAACTCAAAGAGAAGAGGCTGACAAATCCCACCAATCATGTATTGAAGACCTGTAACATACATTTCTCAGTAACTTATAGAACAAGAAGATAGACGCCAGTAAGGGATCTAGTGAACGGATTGTAATGACACAACTAACAAACTTGACTTAGTTGTTATATATATATCAAATTCCTGGTACCGCGCGATAATGAGTTTTTTAACCATTTGTATTCTATTTATTTATTTATTTACTTTTTTAAGTACTGCTATAGATATGCCTGGTTTCTTTTGTTAGACTTTTATAGTCTATCTTTCCTTTTCCTTTTTCTTTAATCATCTATCTCCATATATTTAAAGTGTCTCTCTTAGAAGTTACATATAGTTAGGTTTTGTGTTTTTATTCAGTATGATAATCTTAGTTTTTGTTTTTGTTTTTGTTTTTTTTTTAGATGGAGTCTCGCTCTGTCGCCCAGGCTGGAGTGCAGTGGCGCGATCTTGGCTCACTGCAACATCTGACTCCCTGGTTCAGGTGATTCTCCTGCCTCAGCCTCCCGAGTAACTGGGATTACAGGCACGCACCACCACGCCCAGCTAATTTTTGTATTTTTAGTAGAGATGAGGTTTCACCGTGTTGGCTAGTATGGTCTTGATGTCCTGACTTTGTGATCTGCCCACCTGGGCCTCCCAAAGTGCTGGGATTATAGACGTGAGCCACTGCACCTGGCCAATCTTAGTCTTTTATTTGGGCTATTTTGTCTATTTACATAATAGTAAAGTAATTATTGATATAAAGTTGGGTTTATTCTTACTATTTGTTTTCTGCTTGACCCATCTGTTTTCTGTTGTTTTTCTTCTTTCCTGCATTCTTTTGGATTAATAAAATAATCTTTTATCATTCTACTCTCTATCTCAAACTTATTAGTTATACAGTTTTGTTACATTTTCTTTTTCTTTAGCTGTTATCCCAAAGATTAAACAACATGCAATCTTGACTTACTTCTGTGTAATACAAATTATTACTTTTACCAGTTCCCAAAACATTTAAAACTTTAGGAAACTTCAGTTTTATTTAGCCCCTTCCTCATTTTGTGTTGTTGTTATACATGTTTAGTTCTACACATATATTTACATTCCATAAGACATTATAACTATTGGGTTGGCAATAAATATTCATTCATAATTACCTATATATTCATCTATTCTGGTATTTTTTCTCTTTTTTGAGAGACAGAGTCTTGCTCTGTCACCAAGGCTGTACTGGTGTGGTAGCACAATCATGGCTCATTGCAGCCTCAACCTCCTGGGCTCAAGCAGTCTTCCTGCCTTGGCCACCTGAGTAGCGGGAACTACAGGCATGCGCCATTATGCCTGGCTAATTTTTAAATTTTTGTAGAGGTGGGGTCTCACTATGTTCCCCAGACTGGTCTCAAACTGCTGGGTGCAAGCAATCCTCCCACTTTGGCATCCCAAAGTTCTGAGAGTATAGGTACTCCTGGCCTGTGTGTGTATATATATATATATACACACACACACACACACATTTTAATTGAAATATATATATACACACATTTTAATTGAAATATGGTATTCACTCAGAAAACATGTACAGATCAATACATTTTCACAAACAGAATGTGGTACATATATTTTAAAACATTAAATTCTGTTTAAAGAAGCAAAATTTTGTATTTTAGGAACACATTACTTACTGTTCAAACAGATGGTTTCCTGAGGAAATGTGTGTGACTTCACACTGTGGGGCTGTCTTTGTCAGCCCTCCCAGATCGCCCCATCTGTGACTTGATTTTTTTTTCTCCTTGTCAAGGTGTCCTCCTCAATTCAATTCACCTCTGCTTCAGGCCAACCGAGACAGTGTCCTTTTGTCAACCTTCTGGCTTCCTTTGCCCTGAGGGATGGAAGCCTTTCTCCACAACCCCTATCAGCTTCTCTTTCTGCATATTGCTGATCTGGAGACCTGCTGTCATTTGTGGCTGCTCTGAGACATGGCCTGGTCATGGGGACAGAGCCTCCCTTTGACTGCACCATTTGTTAGCTGTGCTTTAACCTCCTGTGGAGATTACAACTGGAAAGGCTGGAGACACTGATAACTGATTCAGCAACAAAGGCTTGAACTGTATGGGAGGAAAGACTGAATATTACAATTTTAGCAGTCATTACTGGGGAAGCCGGGCAGGAGGATCATTTGAGCCCAGGAGTTCGTGACAGCCTGGGTAACAGCAAGACCCTGTCTTATTAAATTTTAATAATAATAAACTGAATTATGGACAAAATGAAGTTAACAAATGTTTTTTAGCAGTTACCATTCCTTAAGCGCCTACTGTCAGGTGCTCTGCCAGAAACTTCTATAGAGCATCTCATGAATACTCAAAACAATTCTGTAAAGAAAACATCATTACTATCTGATATGGTTTGGCTGTGTTCCCACCCAAATCTCATCTTGAATTGTCATTCCCATAATCCTCACGTGTCATGGGAGGGACCCAGTGGGAGGTAATTTAGTCATGGGGGTGGTTACCCTCACGCTGTTCTCATGATAATGGGTGAGTTCTCACGAGATCTGATGGTTTTATGTGGGACTTTTCTCCTTTTGCCTACACTTCTCCTTCCTGCTGCCATGTGAAGAAGGATGTGTTTGCTTCCATTTCCACCATGATTGTAAGTTTCCTGAGACCTCACGAGCCATGTTGAACTGTGAGACAATTAAACCTCTTTCCTTTATAAATTACCCAGTCTTGAGTATGTCTGTATTAGCAGTGTGAGAATGGATTAATACACTATCCAACTTCAAACGAGGAAGTGGAAGCTCAGGGAAGCAATTTGCCTAAGGTCACACATCTAGTAAGTGCAGAGAGTGTTTGGATCAGATTTAATTCATGCTCTTTGCTTAGGTCCAGTCACATTTTCTATGCCTATCTCAGCTGCTGACACGTGACTCAGTTGCTCCCATTTTCCTTGGAAAAGCAGGAGCTGGAAAGGACCTTAGAGGTCATCCACATCAATCATCTCATTTCACTGATGAGGAAAGTGAGACTTGGACCAGGTCAGTGGTTGTCATTCACACCCATGTGCCATCCATACCCACGTGCCAGTCACTCCAAACTATACACATTTCTACAAAGGCATCTGGGTGTTCCCACCTCTCTGCTTTTGCTAACTATTTTCCCTCTGCTGGAAGTCCCCTTTCTCCTCATTTCACACTGTTAATGATCTTTTCAGCTTTCAAGGTTCACTCCAAGCATCATTTCTCTCATCATCTCCTGAGTATCTGCAGGCTACACTCAGCAGTTTCTACCGTGCAGAGGAGAGTTACCACAGCACGCCTGAGACTGCTATCCTTAGAAAGGCCTGCTTTCAAGGTTGGCCCCTCTAAGGCTGGCATGTACGAGGTTGGGTTTCAGGAGAGTTCCCATGATTCCCTGATAAGAGTGGTTCACTGTGCCTGGACTGTTTGTGCAAACAGTGTGGTTTATGTGAAACACCTGCTTTCCTTCTGGGAGTCTGGAATCTTGGTGCATGCTAGGCAGAGGTTGTCTACATGGCCAGCCCCCAGCAAAATCTTTGGGTACTGAGTCTCTAATGAGCTTCCCTGATAATAGACAACATTTCACACTTGTCACAGTGCATTGCTGGAGGAATTAAATGTGTCCTGTGTGATGCCACTGAGAGAGGCTCTTGGAAGCTTGCCCCTGATGGCTTCCAGACTTTGCCCCTGTGTGCCTTTTCCCTTTGCTAATTTTGCTTTATATCCTTTCATGGTATAGAATAAAATAAATAGAAAGGGCCATGCATGGAACAAAGATGTTTGTGTACCAGGGACTGAGAATTATGACTAACCCCAATTCAATAGGCCTGAGGTCCAATAAAAAGGGTGGTAGTGATGGGGGTTAGTCTAAGGCCTGAAGAAAGGGAGGGATGTTAACACTTTAAATACTGATAGTCAAATATGAAGCAGAGACAGGTGGTCGGCGGGATGGAGACCACTATAAACAAAATGTATGGTTTTTGCTACTTGGGAGTAAAAGGTAGCACAATTTCAGGACACTTTATTTATTTATTTAGTTAGTTAGTTTTGAGACAGAGTCTCGCTCTGTCGCCCAGGCTGGAGTGCAGTGGTGTGATCTCAGCTCACTGCAACCTCCACCTCCACGGTTCAAGCGATTCTCTTGCCTCGGCCTCCTGAGTAGCTGGGGTTACAGGTGCATGCCACCATGCCCGGCTAATTTTTGTATTTTTAGTAGAGACAGGGTTTCACCATGTTAGCCAGGCTAGTCTTGAACTCCCAACCATCTCCTTGTTCTGATTCCAAGCTCACTATATGTTTCAATACAATATAAGAATCTAGCCTCCCATGTAGATCTTCCTACAGGAAAGAAACACACTGTTGGCAAATACAATGATCCAGTCTGATGGATAATTATATTTTTTCACTAGAAAGGAATTAACTCACTCTCCAGGTTTACACAACAACTTCTTTTAGTTTGGTTAGCATGTGTCCTCTGGATCCTGCTTACCTCTGTGTCAACTAATGGAACCAGCTTTTTGGCCCTACAGTGAGGCATAGGACACTGGAAGAAGACAGTCCAAGGCATTGTTACCCAGTCAGCCCCAGTCAGGTCATGTTTGAAACTCCAACAGTTTAGTAATATACTAGTAAGTCAATTTGTAGCTCTACTTGAAGAAGGTTTGTGCCAAACAAGATAGTTTCAGTAATGAAGCTATGTTGAATGATGTTCAAAACAATTGTTCTAAATTTTACTCTATAATGTCAGAGCAAGGTTCCAATGAATATCAATGCAAATATACAACACATTTAAATGGTTTTTAGTTACATTCTATTTATACAGTTAGAAAATATTGATCATGTCTTATTAAAATAGGTCCATCTAGGAGACCGTGAACAAATTTCTAGGTTTGTCACTAACAATCCCTGAATCTACTGAATTTTAGAATTTCCTTGACACAATTCACATTTTTTCCAAATAATAATTTCCACTGTTTTATAAATAACTGTATATTGATAGTGTTTGCTCAATAATATTGAGATGTTATTTACTGTTCATGATGTATGCAGGAGGAAGGCCAAGGCCAGGTTTTGTTCATTTCCTTTTCCAGGTGTTATATGGCTTGTGGCACTTCACTAATTAGGAATCATTTTCTCCAACGTTCATAAAACGGAAACTATCCTTACCGAAATCCAGTCAGATGATTTCAAAAAAGTAGATCTGAAATGCCTTTTGAGAGCCGAGAGTGCCTTCTGAGCAGTCCTGTGCCCAGGTGAATGATTTATGTCAGCATTTTGCAAAATGTGTTCTGGGAAAAACGACATGGGAGGGACATTAATAGAGCGTTACTTGAAAGTTACTGTGGTCAAAATGCTACAGAAACACCAGACTAAACAAAGTTAAGCAAGTTCATTACTGTAGGCCTTCTCTGAGCGATCTAATATTCTACTAACTGTGTTAAGAGACAGGCAGATCCCAAACTTCCTTCTTTCTTTCTCATTTTCTCCTCAGGAACACATCATGGTAAATGCTTCTTTATAGGGACTATTTCCCAACACAGTCTCATACAAGTGTCAGAGAAGGTGTATCAGTTTCACACACATGAATAGTTTCCATTTTATGAATGGATAGTTTCCGTCTTTATGAACGTTCAAGAAAATGATTCATAATCAGTGAAGTGCCACAAGCCATATAACTCCTGGAAATGGAAATGAACAAAACCTGGCCTCGGCCTTCCTCCACCATACATCATGAACAGTAAATAACATGTTGAAACTATTGAGCAACTAACACCTGTGGTAAGTGGCTGCCCTGGTACAGAATCCAGGCCAGTATTCTCAAACTAGTAGTCTACAGTCATGAGTCCCATTTCTCCTTGGTAAGAATTTTTTTTTTTTCCCCCTAAGACAGGGCCTCATTCTGTCGCCCACGCTGGAGTGCAGTGGCACGATCTCAGCTCACTGCAACGTCCGCCTCCCAGGCTCAAGCCTCAGCCTCCCGAGTAGCTGGGATTACAGGTGTGCACCACCCCGCACTGCCTTTGGTAAAGAGATCCTGATTTTGTCTTCACCCTCCTCTCCCACAGGGAGGACGTTAGGACCCTTTCTACCCCTGTACCTCCAATCCTCCTTCCAAGTGGCATTGTCTGCATAGTTCTTGTACTCCTCTTCCAGGGTCATAGTTCCTTATCTTTTGAACTAATCTTCTTCCCCATATCTGGTCACAATACTAAAGTGCATTTTTTGTTTTGTTTTGTTTTAGTTGACTGTTTTTAAAATTGACAAGTCAGTCGCTCTCCTACACACAGGAAAAATGGGTCCTAAAAATATATATATATATCTACAGGTCTCGCTGCGTCACCCAGGCTGGAGTGCAGGGGTGCCATCACGGCTCACTTGCACCCTCGACCTCCCAGGCTCCAGCGATCCTCCCACCTCAGCCTCCCGAGCAGCTGGGACCACAGGCGCACACCACCACGCCCGGCTAATTTTTGTATTTTTTAGTAGAGATAGGGTCTCGCTATGTTGCCCAGGCTGGTCTCTAACTCTTGAGCTTCAGCGATCCTCCCAACTTGGCTTCCCAGAGTGCTGGGATTACAGGCGTGAGCCAATGCGCCCGGCCTAAACTAAATACTTTTAAGTTGCAGTGTCACCATTATTTTTTTCGAGCCTGTAGGGGTTATATAAAGGAAAGTCCAGCGCTTAGATATTCGAGGGGCCGATCTCTAACTAGCACTTAGGAGAAAGGAATCCCGGCGCTACGGGCTTCAAGGTGGCCCCTCCGAGAAGCCTTCCACCCTGGCCCCCAATCCCGTGGCGTGCGAGTTCCGTGGAAAAGGCCCCACCTGCGGCCCCAGAATCGGCATTAGGGGCTCGTGTCCACCCGGCAAAGCCTCCCCTGAGCCCAGAGCAGGCACCTAACAAAATGCGAGAAACCCTCCAGCAGACAAAAGTCCCCGAACTCAGTGCACTTGCGCTGTCTGAAGGAAGCCGGAAGTGGGCCGCCGGCTGAAGCCGACTTCCTGAGTTCGCATTTCCTCTCTAGGAATCCGGAGGTTTCCGCATCTCTATGGTCTGGGCCTCAAGCGGCGGAGCCTGAGGTCTCTGGTGCAAAGGAAAGTGGCCTCGCAGCGAGGAGGGGAAGGAGCATCGGTTCATGTCTTCGTGATCCCTTTCCTACCCCTTCACACTCGTGCGCACCTGGCAGTACCACCAGCAGAGTCTCAGAAATTGCTTTCATCAGGATTTAACAGAAGGAAGACACAGGAACACACTAGGACACCGCCAAAGTCAACAAGTCTCTAGAGTTTTTCCGGTAGTGTATGCACACATGCATTGTAAAAATTCAGATGAAGTCTAACATTCATGCAATAACACAGCTGAAATGACTAGTAATAATAATAATAATAATAACAACCCAAAAATGTTTGACATTTGAAGTTCCTTTTGAGTTTGAACCCCAGGCTGGGTCTGAATGAGCTGGTCTCATCTCTCAGCATAGACCCTGCCCTCTGGTCCCTAGGGCCGCGGGCAGGAGAGACACACCTGTCTTTCCATGTGCTCCCAGGGTTCCAGCTGGCCCATCTGTTGATTCGAAGGTTCTTGCTAACCAACTTATATAGACTTTTTTTTTTTTTTTTTTTTTTTTTTTTCTGAGACGGAGGCTCGCTGTGTTGCCCAGGCTGGAGTGCAGTGGCCGGTTCTCAGCTCACTGCAAGCTCCGCCTCCCGGGTTCACGCCATTCTCCTGCCTCAGCCTCCCGAGTAGCTGGGACTACAGGCGCCCGCCACCTCGCCCGGCTAGTTTTTTGTATTTTTTAGTAGAGACGGGGTTTCACCATGTTAGCCAGGATGGTCTCGATCTCCTGACCTCGTGATCCACCCGTCTCGGCCTCCCAAAGTGCTGGGATTACAGGCTTGAGCCACCGCGCCCGGCCTATAGACTTTCTTATCTGTATTTTCCACTCTAGATGCAAATACAAATAACTGTAGAATCTAGTAAAATTAGAATTGTCTAGGTTTATAAAACATATGGCATCCAACACAAATAAAGGTGTGGTGAAATTAGTTCATTCTGAGCAGACGGAATGTAAATATATGCCATCCTGTTGAAAAACTACTTGGCATTTTATATCAAAAGCCACTGTGACTCATGGGATCCCATCTGTGAAAATTTATCTCAAGCAAATAATGCAAGATAAAGGAAAAGCTGTATTTTTGAAGTGATTCTGCAATGGACAACCATTGTTTTTGTTTGCCCAACATTCAGTTTTTCTTTTAATGATTTTAACAGTAGGATTTTTCTGTGGGAAACCTGCTAGCCCTCAATCCACTTCTGGGGTGAGCCCATGACGCAGGTCTGGCCAGTGAGAATATCCCAGCATGGCGAGGCAGTAAGACATGAAGTCAGGAGCCAGACCGAAGGCCCCCCAGTCCTGGCTCTGCTGCTTAACAGATGCATGAATGTCAGCTTGTTATTCAGCTTCTCTGACTCTCAGTATACTCATTTGTTGAATGGGCACATTAATAGTCCCCTGCCTCACAGGGTAAAAATTAAATGAATGAAGCAGGTATAATAATGCTTGTTACGTCCTACCATCATCAGTTCCTGCCTCTGTGACTCTGATCAATATTTTCTATGTCTAGCATGCTTTATTACCACCTTCCTTTTTTTCCTTTTCTGTTTACTTTCCACATGTTGCAATATCATCTACTGCATTATCCTAGACGTTTATTTTATATTTTTCTTTCCTACAGGGAATACCCTGAAGGTGGGACTGTGTCTTATTCACCTTTGTACTCTGGGTGCTTAACACTGTTCCCACCCCAGAAATGGTGCTCAATAAAGTCTTCTTGAAGAAAACAGAATAGCCTCGAGTCCAGAGCTGAGAAAGAAGTTGGAACAACTAGTGAAAAGGTAATAAATCCTAGACGATCAACAAAAGGGGAATAGAGGAAACCACATGAATATGAACAATTTTCTTAAAAAAAACCATAAAAACAAAAAACTTGATTGCTGGGGATTGCAGACTGCCTATCTCCCTATCCCTAGACTGGCTCCCATATGGTGGACAGATGAGTTCTAGGGACACATTTGTGCCTAAGATTCACTTTCTGAATTACTGCTTCCTTTTTCTGCCTTCGGAATCATCTCTTTCCTTGGAGACTAAAAGGAGAAATTAGCATTCTCTTCAGATAGATCCAATCTACCTTCAAGAAAGACCACCCTGCAAGGCCAGTATTCATATGCAAACATTCAGACATAAAATGCAAAGCGTAGAGGAAGCTTAAGATACAGTAAACAAGGCCGGGCATGGTGGCTCACAACTGTAATCCCAGCATTTTGGGAGGCCAAGGCGGGAGGATCCTTTGAGCCCAGGAGTTCGACACCAGCCTGTGCGACATAGCAAGACCGCATCTCAATAAAGATACAGTAAGACACTAGGGAAGGGGCAGGCTTCATTAGGTGCCTGGAGCAGATGTGTCAGGCCAGCCTGGAAACCCTTGAAAACCCTTTCTTTCTTTTTTTTTGAGACGGAGTCTCACTCTGTCCCCCAGGCTGGAGTGCAGTGGCCGGATCTCCACTCACTGCAAGCTCCGCCTCCCGGGTTCACGCCATTCTCCTGCCTCAGCCTCCCGAGTAGCTGGGACTACAGGCGCCTGCCACCTTACCTGGCTAGTATTTTTTAGTAGGGACAGGGTTTCACCGTGTTAGCCGGGATGGTCTCGATCTCCTGACCTCGTGATCCGCCCGTCTCGGCCTCCCAAAGGGTTTATAGGCTTGAGCCACGAAAACCCTTTCTAATGAGTGATTGCTCATCTTTTGATGGTGATACTGAATGAGTGATACCAGCATCAATTTCTCTGCCGTACAAGACTCTCCTGGAATCCATCTGAGACTCAGAAATTCTCAGAGTTGAAAGAGATAGATAGGAGCATAGTTTACCATTGAGTGTAGAGTAGATCTCATCTACAACTTTGGACCATGGCCACTGATGCTGGGAACACTCCAAAGACACCCAGTTCCCTGGTCTGTGAGATCATCTGCTTAGTTTAAAGAACAAAATTAGTTGTTAGAAAGTTTTTCCATGAAGTCCTAATTGGTATTAATGTAATGGTGTCCTAATTCAGGTACTGGTAACCCTTAGCAGCCTTCGGTGAGGCAGTCGGAACCTAACAGATAGAGGACTTCTTGACTTAACTAGCTTCTCCTACCACCAGATTCTGCAATTTAGCAAACATTTTCACTTTTTTTTTTTTTTTTGAGATGGGGTCTCACTCTGTTGCCCAGGCTGGAGTGCATTGTCATGATCTCGGCTCACTGCAACCTCTACCTCCCAGGTTCAAGTGATTCTCCTGCCTCAGCCTCCCAAGTAGCTTGGATTACAGGTGTGTGCCACCACACCCAGCTAATTTTTGTATTTTTAGTAAAGATGGAGTTTCATCATGTTGGCCAGGCTGGTCTCAAACTCCTTACCTCAGGTGATCCGCCTGCTTTGGCCTCCCAAAGTGCTGGGATTACAGGCGTGAGTCACCATGCCTGGCCTAAACATTTTCACTTACAATATTAATTATAATTTGTTAAGAATAATTTGATTTTCTCATAGCAAACAAATGAATTATTAGAAAGTGCAGGCTTTGCCCAGGGGCACGCATGTTAGTAAGCAGCCAAACCAAGACTCAGCCATGGTTTATTTTGTTCCAAATTCTGTGCTCTTTCCATGACTGCAGTGCTCAGCCTCCCTGAACTGGTAGATAACAGTGACCTAAATTCAGTGAAATAAATTCTGGCTGTGTCGGCCAGGCACGGTGGCTCATGCCTGTAATCCCAGCACTTTGGGAGGCCAAGGCGGGCAGATCACTTGGGGTCATGAGTTTGAGGCCAGCCTGGCCAACTTGGTGAAAGTCCAACTCTACTAAACAAACAAATGAACAGAAAACAAAACAAAACAAAAAAACAAAAATCAGCCGGGCATGGTGGCATGAGCCTGTAGTCCCAGCTACTCAGGAGGCTGAGGCAGGAGAATTGCTTGAACTTGGGAGGTGGAGGCTGCAGTGAGCCAAGATTGCACCACTGCACTACAGCCTGGGCAACAGAACGAGACTCCGTCTCAAAATAAATAAATAAATAAATAAATAAATAATAAATTCTGGCTGTGTCTACCTGGGTATGGGATTGATTGATCCATGACTGGGAAATTTTGGACAAGTCTGTTAGAGAGAAGGTGAGGGGCTCTTCTTGAGAGGTTCTTAAGAAGGTAGTAGGCCAGGTGCAGTGGCTTGCGCCTGTAATCTCAGCACTTCGGGAGGTCGAGGTGGGTGGATCGCTTGAGCTCAGGAGTTCAAACCTGGGTAACATGGCAAAACTCCATCTTCACCAAAACTACA